AGAGTACTCTCCATGAATTTTGTTTTACTGAACTTTTTAATGATTCTTGTTGTGGTATGGTCTTATTTCCTGAAAAAAACCCAAAAAATTAAAAAAGGAAAAAACAGAGTTCAGGATAAATTACACGAGGAAAGTGAGTGAATAAAGGTTAAATACAACAGAGCAAAACAGATGTCACCAATTCTTTCTCTATTTTCCCTTTCTATTTCCAACATGCTTTCTGGCTCCATGTGTTCCAAATTACAGGTGAGCGCCATTTCAATACACCACAGTCACCACCATCACCACAACCAACAAAAACTACTAAGTATGGCCAAAAAGAAATTTAATCTATTAAATGAAAGAAAAACAATGTAAGAGAAAGCTCCACAAAGTAATAATCTATCATGGGCATATACTTTCTGTATTGTTCAGTTAAAATATAGTAAATTAATTATACAGATGCTCACCAAAAGGAACCTGGCCACAGTTTATCATTGTTATCTAGTAGAGAAATCGCCTGACCTCTTCGAGCTGCCATTACCCGAAGTCTCCTTGGACTATTTAATTGCCTCTATCTATCTTGTTCTCTTGCTTCCTGCCTTACCTTCAATAGCCTTTGCTCCACACAGAAGTCAAAGTCATCCCTTTGAAACATAAATCACATCTCACACCACCACACAAAATCCTTGAAGAGCTTTCCATGCTACTCAGAGTAAAAGCCAAGCCCTCAGTATGGCCCACACATCCTACATGAAGTTGCCCCAGCTCACCTCTCAAACCTCATTTCTTACCAGTCTAACCTGACAGCTCTGCTGTGTTTCCAGCATACCCAGCATGCCCCAGCTTGGGCACCTGCTCTTCACTAGGGCCGAAACTCTTCCTTCAGACAACTGCATGACTGGCTCTCTCACTTTCTTCAAGTCTGTTCAGATTCTGTCTTGATAGATAAGACTTCCTGATCATGATCACTGTACCTAAAGTAGCATTTCTCTCCACCTCACCATCATCTTTCACTTCCCCATGCCTGTCATGCTTTTCTTCACTATATTTACTGCTACCTGATATTACGTACAGAGTTTACTACGTTATCTACCCTCACTAAACATCAGCTCCAAGTGGACAGGGACTTTGTTGTGTTCAACACCCTAATTATAGGGCCTAGAACAGAACCTGGCAGGTAGATGGTGCTCAATAAACATTAGTCAAATACATGAATGGATTAAGTGCTGCTATCTGTTAGGCATATTCTCAACCCTTTCTATGTATTAACTCATTTAACTTTCATAGTACTCCATCAAGTACCTATTGTCCCCATTTTACAGATGAGGAACTGAGGCACAGAGAATTAAAGAACAAGTTAACAAAGCTAATAGGTTTGGGATCCAGGACTTGAATCCAGGTAGTGTCTGCAAAGCCTATTGAACTGTTGCTCAGGCTGTCACAGACTAGGTGGCTTAAACAACCAATATACTTTCTTCCTCACAGTTCTGGAACCTGAAAGTCCAAGATCAAAATGCTGCCAGAGTAGATTTCTGGTGAAGCCTCTCTTCTTGGCTTTAAATGGCTGCCTTCTCCCTATATCCTCACATAGTTTTTGCCAGTGTATGCCCTCCTGGTGTCTCGTCCTCTTCCTATTGGATTCACCCACATGACCTCATTAAACATTAATTACCTCCTTAAGGGCCCATCTCCAAGTACAGTCACACTGGTGATTAGAGCTTCAACATACAAATTTTGAAAGGACACAATTCAATCTATAACACCCATAATTTACGTCTTTGAAATATAGCTATTTTAAACATCTTCCTTTTTTATTTTGAAGAATCAAGTTGGGGTTTTTTTTTGCTAGGTCTTTTTAGTTGAACAGAGAAGAAGAAACTTTCAGGACTCTGCCTGGGCCCAAAGATCACCTGGCAAGATCTACTGAAATGGCTACACTGAGGATTTTCAGAAACAACTTGTTCTCATAAAACACCAAATGATTGTGCCAAACATCTGTTAGTGTACTTCCATACACCGTGCATTAACGCGTTGCAGCTCCGGGAATTGTGTTTATTTGTAACTCCTCATACAAAACCAGCAGAAAACCATACTTCTTGTGAGTCCCTGATGGAAATCTGTTCCAGCCTCCTTGCTGCTCCTCAAACACACCACTTAGGCTCCCACCCCAGGGCCTTTGTGCTCCCTGCTCTCATTATCTGGAGTGCTTTCCCTCCAGGTAGCTTCATGACTCATTGTTTCCCTTATTTAGATTTTTTCCCAGTGTCATCTCCATGAGGCCTTGCTGAAACAATCTATTTAAAATTGCAAACATACTTTCCTCCTGCACTTACCCTTACCTACTCTCTCTACTTAATTTTTTTCTGTGGCACTTTTTTTTAGGATTCTGGGGGAGGGGTCTAACTCTTCCCTCTAGAATGCAGGCAAGAAGAAGGTGAGGGTTTTTGTTTGTTCTCTTTACTGCTATTTCCCTAGCTCCCAGATAGTGCTGGCCCATAGTAGACACTCATTGCTGAATGAATGAACTTCTCCAAGGTCACACAGCTGGTAAGAGGTAGAACTGGAGTTTGAACCCTATCAGACACAAAAGTCTAAAATTTTAACTGTTAAGCTATACTGTCCATAGGAGCTAACAATTCCTAAGTACAAATCTGGTCAAAGGATTCTACTGCTCTTCTCTGACATAAACAAACAACAGACTGCAAATAGGAATGGAGAAAATGCCCATCTTCAAATAATCTCCACAGAAACAGAAATTAATATTCCTGACAAGCATAAATTGTAAAAATTCATTCTCTTTAACACTATAGGCAACTGACCACCTGTAAAAATTAAATATTTTGTTTCCAGGGCCAAAGACGTTTCAAAGGTGAACAACTGAGTCCAGATTCCATTTTTTGTTGGATAGATACAAAATTGATTGTAAGGTTTTCCCAAAAGATGTTAGAATTTTATCCCTAGCCTAAATAAGTGGTGTCATTTATTCATTCATTTACTTACTTGCCAAATATTTACTAACCACCTCATCTGACCAGGCATTGTTCCAGGCAATAAGTATACAGCAGTGAACAAAACAATTCTTCCATCTTTGAAGGGGAAACAACAAAAACATAGCTACAGTTAAGAAATGTATTAATGCCACAAAAGGTATTAGTTTTAATAATAATGGCCTTTGGAATTCATCCCTAAATAATTCAGAGTATAATTTTATCATGGTGGCAAAGAGCTCAGACTCTGGAGTCAGAAGTTTGAAACCCCATGAAGAGCTGTGCCCTTGACAAAGTAACTCAAGTCGCAGTTTCATAACTTGGGAGAAACAGAACCCATCCCACAAGGCTGATGTGAGGATTAAAAGAGAAAACATGCAAGAAAAGGCTTAGTACCCTGCAGACTAAATAATAAATATTAATTAATCCCACTGTCATGATTGGAATACGTAAGACAACCTAATTCTTTCATTGCATGAAGACAAAGGTAAAGCCATAGAAAAGTCGTGGGCTGTACATTTAAAGGTAGTTTCTTTTCTCTTGGGGGGGAAGCTAAGCTGCCATGAGTCATTCATTAATTCATTCACGTAACAAATATTCATTGAGCAATGCATGCCAGGTATTTGACTAGTTACTGGGAATACATGTTTATAGGGAAGACATGGTCTCTGCCCGTTTGAAGTGTAAGTTGCCACATATCATAAATAGTGGATATTAGGAGAGCAAACTGAGGACATGCCTAACTTTCTCAACAATAATCTGTGACTGGAAAGAAACCAATATTTACCACGTCCTATTATAGAAGGCTCCTCTAGTGGAGCTTTGCATTCAGAGGATGCCCAGCGCATAAGGTTCACTCGCAAGGGCAAGGTTGGGAACAGCTGGAAGCAAAGTAGGAGAGAACCCAGGAGCCTGTTCGGGTCCTCTCGTCATGCTACTTCCAAAATATACTAGCCTTGGTTGGATCTAAGTTTATTGAGGGTAAAAAACAAAACAACCCCACAGCCTACCAAAGTTCATGGCACGTGACCTAGCTACTTTATAAACAATTTTCAAATTAACTAGTAAATATTTCAGATCTTCGCTGCTACCACCGTAGGCCCCGACATAATCATCTCTTTCTTGTACTAACGGGCCTCTCGGCTTATGCCCCTCTAGTCTGTTCTGCAAATAACCATTAGAGTTATCTTTTCAAAGGGAAGTCAGGCCACTATATTGACTAAACGGCTCCATCGTTTCCTATCAGCTTCAGACCCAATATGCTCCCCAGGCAGTCCGGCTCCTGCCTGCCTCCCACCCGGGCGCCGCTCGGCACCGGGGT